ATCAGAACCTATGGTTTGTATAAAACCAGCCTTATTAAGCAAAAAACCAGAAACTAAATTCTTCCTCATTTCCGGAGTGTGTAACACATCTTTCAGGATGAGAGTCCTGCCAGAAGTAAACTTCAACTCAACATTTCCAACACCAGCAATGTTAGTGGAATGGGAATCACCCAACAGTACTTTCTTATCATCGGTCTTTTCAGTGTATGTTTTAAACATTCGACGATCATAACAGACATGGCGTGTGGCACCAGTGTCTATCCACCACCCATCTGATCCACCAGTAAGGTTGATCTCAGTAATCATAGCCACAAAAGGCTCTTCAATCATGCTAGCCTGCGCAGGCACAGGGTTAGGCATGTTCCTGCACTTTCGTGCCATATGGCCTGGTTTTCCACACCGATAGCAGGTTTAAGTACTGCAGCAGATCGCCTAGGAGCATTATTAGCAGAGATTTGTAAAATCTCTTCCTTTAGATCCTGTTTTCTGGATTCTTCTTCTATACGTAGCCGAGTGATCAAACTCTCTAAGGAGAATTCCTTAGTCTTATGCCTGAGATTATTTTTGAAATCTTTCCAGGAAGGAGGCAACTTGTCAATAATAACAGCAATTTGAAATTGTTCATCAAGGGCCATACCTTCGGAAATTATCTCATGGGCAATTTTCTGAAGGTCGTGAGACTGCACTTCCACGGACTTATCATCAGTCATCTGGAATTTTAGGTACCTACTGACAGCATACTTTTTGGCACCTGCTTCTTCAGTATCATACTTTTTTTGTAGGGTATCCCACAAATCCTTAGCAGTATTTTCCATATTATAATAGTCATAGAGGTTATCAGACAGACCATTAAGTATATAGTTTTTGCACATGAAGTCAGTTTCATTCCAGGTTTCGATTTCACTATTCAAGTAAGCTAATTCATCTTCAGGAGCATTATCAGGAATAAATGGCCGAGGGGCTGTTAAGGCAGAATTAACTTTTTTGACAGTTAAGAAAAATTGCATTTTCTGTTTCCATCTTTTAAAGTGAGCTCCTTCAAAACGGAAGGGCTTGTTAAGGTCAGCAGACATAGTAATATCTTCGGTAGACATATAGTTCATACAGGCAGAAAATGAGTGTTCTAAAATTGTTATAAACGGAACTACGGGAACAAAAACAGTAAGAACAAAGTTACCGAAAATTAGACTGAGTCGCGGACTATGTCACTTTCTTTAGAACATTCACGGCACTGCCCTGAAAATGTGCAAGCAGTTCGTACTAAACCGGATGTTCCCCAGGATAAAACAGCCTTTCTCTATTGTAATTATACCGGTGGAACTGCACAAAACCACCGGGCAACTAAACACCAAAAAGAAAAGAAACTGCTCGAGGGTTTTGTTTTTGTGAGGAAAAATAGAGAGGAGAAGAAGATTGCTTTCTGTATTTTTTTTGTGTATCAAAAACAGGAAATCAACACGCCTTTTATAGGCAAAATTGCAACGTAACTGCTGCTGTTTAATTAGGCACTAATCACGCAATTAAAACGGTCATAAGTTGAACGTTCAAAACGGTTACAGAAGATTAATGCGTGGCAAAACGTTTAGCAAAAAATCAGTGAAAACGTTTGCATGATTAACGCTCCATTAATCAGTTTTGAAAAAACGGTCAAATGTAATCAGTCAAAAACGTTTAGCAAAAATCAAGGAACTAATCACGCAATTAGCCTTGTCCAAAAAATAAGTTTATTTAATAAACCCGACCCGACCCAACCCAACCCAACCCGGCCCGGCCCGGCTCGGCTCGGCTCGGTTCGGTTCGGCGCGCATGTGTGTGATAGATGGTTTACCATATAGGTCCTCCCTCTCCACAAAATGTGGGTAGCCCAAGGGCCACACCCCTTTAGCCCACTCTCTATATTATAAAGAGAGTAAAACTCTCATTTCCCACCAATGTGGGACTTTGATTTTTTTCACAAAATTCACACACTACACACTTGTTGTTCCAACAATCGCGGCTCCTTTTGGAAGAATCTCACCGCAACACCAAGAGTAACAATCCACCTTCCTCCTTTGTCGCACATCAGCAATCAAACCCCGCGTCGACGACCGACCAATCGCAACCTTAGCATGCGTCTAGTGGTGGTTAGGGCGGCGGAACGGGAAGCGGCCGGGGAAAGGGTGGCCGAGGAAAGGGCCGTGGGAAGGGACGTGGTGGTCCTCCTCAAGGCCATGGCGGATCTCCTAATCAGCAGCAGCAATCCACGCAAGGCATCCCACCTCAACAGCAACAAGCTGGCCCTATTGGCCAACATTGGGCCTGGCCCAATCAATAATTCTTTTGGCCTCAACAATGGGCTGTCCCTCCAGCACCTTTTCCCCCTTTAGGCCAGTTTCAACGGGCCAATACTCCAAGTCCCCAACAGTCTTACTACATCCGCTCACCTATGTATGGCTCGACCACGACTCCAACGAAACTTGGTAATGCTTATTCTTCGCCCGGGTTGACAACACCGGATAACGGATGGTATATGGATTCGGGAGCATTATCTCATATGACTCACACTTCCGGTAATCTTCTTCCCTTATTTAATTTAAGCACTAATAATCATATTTTAGTAGGCAATGGTCATCGCATTCCAATAACTGGTTATGGTAATTCTAAAATCCCGAACACCCCCCTTGCACTAAAAGATGTCCTCCTCGCCCCTCAAATCATTAAAAACCAAATTTATGTTCGTAATTTACTTCTGATAATTCGGTTTCAATTGAATTTGACCCTAATGGTTTTTTTGTGAAGGACCTACGAACGGGGAGGGTAGTCACCAGATGCAATAGTTCCGGAGATCTTTATCCCATCACCACCACTACCAATGATCCGACTACATGTCTTGCCACATCTCTTACCATAGTTGCTCCTTCCACTTGGCATGATCGTCTAGGACATCCGGGAGCACCTTCTTTAAGCTTTCTTAGGAGCAATAGTTTCATTAATTACAATAAGGAGAAAACCTCCACTTTTTGCAATTCTTGTCAATTAGAGAAACATGTTAGACTTCCGTTTTATGATTCAAATACTAAAACTTATTGTGCTTTTGATATTGTTCATGCCGATTTGTGGACATCTCCTATTCGTAGTAGTAATGGTCACAAATACTATTTGGTTCTTCTTGATGATTTTACTCATTATGTTTGGGCAATTCCGTTAGCATCAAAATCTCAAGCTTTTTAATCTTTTCTCCATTTTAGACAATATATGCATACTCAATTTGAAAGACCGGTAAAGTGTTTTCAAAGTGATCATGGTCGTGAATTCGATAATGATCCATTCAAACAATTTTGTCTAGATAACGGGACGGTGTTTAGATTCTCTTGTCCTCATACATCTTCTCAAAACGGAAAGGTCAAACGTATGATTCGAACCATTAACAATATCAAGGGCACCTTACTTTTTCATGCCTCTCTTCCCCCGACCTTTTGGGCACATGCTTTAGAGATCGCTCATATCTTCTTAATATATTGCCAACCAAGTCCTTACAAAACTTGACTCCGGCACATGCTCTCTTTCGCAAAAACACATCATATGATCACCTAAGTGTGTTTAGTTGTCTTTGTTTCCCAAATTTGGCCGCTACGGCTCCTCACAAGCTTGCTCCTAAATCCACCCCATGTGTCTTCCTAGGATATCCCTCTAATAACCGTGGCTACAAGTGTCTCGACCTTTCCACCAATAAAATTATCCTTTCAAGACATGTGGTATTTGATGAGTCAACGTTTCCTTACAAAAACTTGGCAAAATTCAAATTGTCGGATTACGATTTCTTAGGCTATGACGATCAATCCCCTTTACTCACTCACCCTCACCTAAGAATTCACCTCACTGGCCCAACCCCACAAACCGGCACACCCACTGGCCCAACTCAACAGGCCCATACGGATGCCACCCAAACTGGATCAGCGCATGCTGACTTTCCAGTGGGCCATCCAGCCTGCAAACCCCCCTCACCGCAGCCCAATTGCGGCACTACTAGCCCACCCACAACAGGCCTGCGCTCCCCACTGTTTTCCACGCCCAGCCCCACTGCCATACATCACAGTCCAGCTGCCATACCAAACAGCCCAGCCGTGCCTCTTTATTCACCGCCACCTTTGGGTGGCATCCCCCCTCTGCAGCTCACTCGACCACCACCCCCTTCTCCCCGGGTCACTCATAGTCAACGAGGAATTTTCAAGCCTAACCCAAAATATTGTAACATCACCGTTCAAAATTCGAGTCCCCCTCACATTAAATCACCACTTCCAAAATCATATAAACAAGCTTTAAATGACCAAAATTGGAATGCGGCGATGCATGATGAGTACAGTGCTTTAATTAAAACAGGGACATGGGAATTGGTGCCTAGGCCTGCGGGGGTGAATGTTGTTAATTGTATGTGGCTTTTTAAGCATAAATACAAATCTAATGGTGACCTTGAAAGGCACAAAGCTCAGCTTGTATGTGATGGCAGGTCTCAAGAAATCGGGGTGGACTGTGATGAGACGATCAGTCCGGTAGTTAAACCGGCCACCATTCGCACTGTTCTCAGTTTAGCTCTGGCTAAAAAGTGGTCAATACATCAATTGGATGTCAAAAATGCCTTTTTACATGGTGATTTGCAGGAAACTGTTTACATGCATCAACCTCCAGGTTTTGTTGATCCGATGGCTCCCTCTCATATTTGTCGGCTCCGCAAGGCTCTCTGTGGATTGAAACAAGCTCCCAGAGCTTGGTACCAACGCTTTGCGAATTTCCTTATTAAATTGGGTTTTGTCATTACTAAAAGTGACAACTCTCTCTTTACTTTCCAGCAGGAAGATGATATGGCATATTTACTCCTATATGTTGATGATATTATTTTAGCTACTTCTTTTGACAGGTTGCGCATAGAGATCATCTCTCAGTTGCAAACTTAGTTTCCCATGTCCGACTAGGGGCCTCTCAGTTATTTTTTAGGTATTGCAGTAACCCGAAAACCTTCTTATATGTTACTTTCTCAGGAAAAGCATGCACAGGAGATTTTAGAGCGTGCAGGGATAGCCTCTTGTAAACCTGCCGCTACTCCAGTTGACACTAAGTCCAAACTTAGTGCAGGTGCAGGGCCACCTTTTCGGGATCCTACTTTGTATCGCAGTTTAGCAGGTGCTCTTCAGTACCTCACCTTTACAAGGCCAGATATTTCCTATACGGTACAACAGGTGTGTCTATTTATTCATGATCCCCGGGAACCTCATTATGAGGCATTGAAATGCATTTTGCGTTATTTTCAGGGTACCATTGATCACGGTCTACATTTATATCCTACTGTTTCACATCGACTGATTACTTACACTGACGCTGACTGGGGGGTTGTCCCGACACTCGACGTTCCACATTGGGCTACTGTTGTTTCCTCGGGGACAACCTCGTATCTTGGTCATTTAAGCGTCAACATACATTATCTAAGTCGATTGCAGAAGCAGAATATCGAGGTGTCGCAAATGTTGTCTTTGAGGCGTGTTGGCTCCGTAATCTTCTACTAGAGTTACATTGTCCTCTACAGCATGCTACTATTGTTTATTGTGATAATGTCAGTGCTATCTACCTTTCTGGCAACCCCGTACAGCACCAACGCACCAAACATGTGGAGATGGATATTCATTTTGTTCGTGAAAAGGTTGCTTTGGGACAAGTTCGGGTTATACATGTTCCTAATAGATATCAGTTCGCAGACATTTTCACTAAAGGCCTACCGCGAGAACTATTTCTAGAATTTCGATCCAATCTTAGTGTTCGATCTCCTCCCGCTATGATTTCGGGGGTGTTAGATATTATACCTAGGATAATATTTGTCACAATTTAGGATATATTTAATGTATATTTTTTATGTTTATCGTATCTAGAAATCCTTATCCTAGCGTTGTAAACTCTATATATTTGATCAATGGTACACACTCCAGATTGAGGAGTTTTCCCGAAATCTCACACTCTGTTTCACCCCGCTAGCAGCAACCTGCATAACAAAGCAGTCCCCTATTTCACCCCGCAGCTTCACAGCCACTATTTTGCCACCAATTTAAACTTGCAACCATAGGGCAGCCACGCACCAACAACCCCGCAAATTGCAGCTCCAAACCGCAACAAATTTGCAGCAACTCAGGCCACCGTGGGTGCGACACTTATGGCCGCGGGCGTGGCTCCAATTTGCATCAACAACGATCAAGAAGCGGGAGATGCCGAGGAGATGTTTGGGAAAAGGCGCGGCTCAGGCCACCGCGAGCGCGGTCTATTTTTCGCGGGCACGGTCTTCTGGGTATGTGATTGACGATGATGATTGATGATGATGGTAGACGTTCGGCTGAGATTGATGCGTTTTAGAGCAGCCAAGTAATTCGAATTAGGGTGGTGTCTGGTATTTCGGAGGAGAACCTAGTTAATATGCCATATTAATAAACTTGTTAATATGGTGGCAATTTTGTATAAATATGAGGAGTGGAATATATTATTTTTTGTCATTGATTGAAGATGACCAAGTATTGGGAAATTAGGGATAACCTAAATCCAAACATGCAATTAAAGCTAGCTCCTCAAGCACAAGGACTTTGGAAACAACGCTTTAGCTTGGAATGTTCAAGTGCTTGGAAGATAAAGGAGTTGCCCTTCTCACGAGCATCGCCTCAAGTGCACCAATGATAAGGATGCTAAGGAGCGCGGAGATCGATCGAGCAGGCAAAGGAAGCAAGGCCCCGAGCACCAAGCAGGGGTGCGCACGCGGCATATGTGGTGCGTGCACGCAGACCCAACTGTGCGCGCGCGCAGCCTTGGTGGTGCGTGCGCACAGATCTTCTGTGGCCTGATGTGCGTGCGCACGGTTTGCCCAATTTCCCCTCGCTCATTTTATTATAAATTAGCCTTGTTATTTCTTATTTAAGGACGATTTTTAGATTAGTTGGAGGACTTTCTCTCTCATATCTTAGGTTAGGTTGAGAGCTTCTCTCTCTAGGTTTAGGGATAGTTTAGGAGTAGTTTTAGAGAGAGAAAGTGAGGGATTTCAATGGTGGTTTAAGAGATTGAAGATCCAATGGTGACAATTGTATTGAAGATCTTCTTAATCAATCAATGAGCATTTCTCACTCTATCTCATCTTTATTTCTTTGTTCAATTTCATGTTTGTTTGGTTTAATTTCAATTGTTGATTCTTGATAGTGTAATTGTTCTTGATATTTGGTTGATTCTTGATTTCTTTTTTATGGAGTGGGCGTTATTTAGGGAGACCGTTAATTAAGTTAGTTATTTTTGTAAAACAAGTAGAGCGTTATTTGGGGGGGGGGATCGGAATATACTACTTTATAAAATATTTTTTTATATTTGATTGTTGTAATTAATACATATAAAACCAGAAAATAACGGATGAATCTTTTTCATGAAAAAATATCTTTAAAATGTTATTTTATTTTTTTATAGAAAAAAGTTAGTACTATCTTGGAAAGAAATATATATTTTAATTATATCTTGATTTGATCCTTTTCTTTAGGGAATAATTAGAGATTTTTATGAAAAAATTAGCAGTAATATATATTTTTTTTATTTGAAACCAGAAATTTAGTACTAATTAAATACATACTGAATAATTTATGGTATGGTACAAAAAATACCATAATAAACACAAATATACGTATTATTCAGTTGTCTATTTTTTTTTTTTAAATAGTATATTAATTAGTTAACTTTTGATCACTAAATTTTACTAATAATAAAATTAAGTTTCCATAAAAAAATAAAAATAAAAAACCAATAAATAAATAAGAAGAAGAAGTTAACGTGAAATTGTGAATGATAACCTTATCTTTTTTTCATTTAGGCAAATTTAACCTTATATTTTCATAAATGATTTGGTTGCAATTTCTTACAAATGGGTGACGAGGGGTGGAACTAGGTCGTTGAAACTAATCCTCCCTCGGTCAAACTAAATTTATAAACACTTAACAAACCTATATACTAGTATAGAGGCAAGTGAAAGGTCGAACCCAAAGGAACAATAATGTTCAAGTGCTCTCAATTATGCGCCTAAGCTAGGTCGAAGACAAAGAAAAAGAGGGAACACTAACAACTAACAAACAAAGAAACCAAACAAATAAAGCACTAGGAACGGGATCAACAAGCAATCATGACAATTGTAGCAACTCGGAAATACATGCAAGTCAAAAATTGTGAAGACTAATGGCAAGCTCAATCAAAAGAGTCAACAAGCTATCTCCTAGAGGTCAAACTAGCGTCAACTACAAGAGACTCTAACTAGGAGCATCACTAATCAAGATCAATCGACAATTGCAATTCCTAAATCAATGGTCCGTATCATTAGAAACTACAATGCAATCTAGCATAATTCTCAAGGCCTAATCGAATTACACACATGCAAACTTCCATTAATCACTTTAATCTCAACAATAAATCAACACAATCCCCAAATTAAGCACAATCAATCAATCAATCATACAAGTTTCACCCTATCCCTAGCCAAACAACTACTCAAACATTATCATCTAGTCACAAAAAACTAAAGAAATCAAGAATCATCAAAATATAGAGAACAATTACACTCATAAACAGTCAAACATCAAAATCAAACTAAACAAATATGAAATCAAACAAAGCAATAAAGAGGAAAGAAAGTGAGAAATCTTCATTGATTGATAATAGAGTTCTTCAATACAATTGTCATCTTGAATCTTCAACCTCTCAAATAACCATTGAAATTCCTCACTTTCTCTCTTTAAAATCTACTCCTAAAACTAACCCTAAAACTACAGAGAGAAGCTCTCAATTAAGCTAAGAAAAATGAATTCTAATTCTGATCTAATTCTCATTCTACTTCTAACCCAAAAATGGGTATTTATAATTACAAAGATAAAAGAAAATAAAAGAGAAAAGAAAACAAAAGAAAAATATAAGAAAAGGAAATGAAAACAAAATAAATAAGAAAAGAAAAAGAAAGTAAAAAGAAAAACTAAAAATAAAAGGGAAATAAAAGAAAGAATCGGTTTTTGCTGCTCTTTGAGTGGGAATTAATCCCCTGCCACGCACTCAAACATTCATCATCAACTTTCGATCTCAAATTCCATCAAGATCAACGGCTCAAGTTCAAACCCATAAAGGCGCGGCCGCGATAGATGATTGCACGCCCCCGTTCGAAATGAGGCAACTCGGTGGCTTTGATTACGGTGGTGGTAGAAGGAAATTAGTTGCGGGATGAGGGAGGCGAAGGTGGCTGATTAGGTGTTAATTGCGGTTGTTGTTGGTGAATTGGGGAAATAAGGGAGTTGCGTGAGTGGTGGAGTGAATTGGTGGCAGGTTTGGTGGTGTGAATTGTTGCGGGACTGGGGAGCTGAACTGGTGGCTGGTGGTTGCGGCAGTTGCAGGTGCGTGAGGTGGTGAAGATTGGAGGTAAGTGATGGTGGTTGACTGGTGGTTGAGGGAGCGCGTAATTGGAGTTGTTGCTGTTGGTGAATTGAATTGGTGGAGGACTTACTTGCGCCTGCTCGGAGCTAAAGGTGGAGCAGGGGAATGAATTTGGGGAACAGGGGAGGTTCTTGTGGTTGAGTAGTCGGTGGGCACGAGCATCGTCCTCACAACTTGCTCGTGATGAACACTAAAGTAGGCAGTCCTTAAACACCCTGATTGTGGGTTCAACACTGCCCGGCTTGAAAGCGCGGCTTTGCAAGCGCAAGGAGTTGAACTTTGAATATCCACCTACCAAACACAAATGAAACCAAGGATAAAATGAAGTAAAATAAACTCAAAATTAATAAACAAAACTAAGAGAAATAAAATGAAAATGAAAAGAATAAAATAAAGAAAACATTATAAAATGAAAAGAAAATAAAGGAAAGAAAATAAAATGAAAACAAAAATAAAATAAAATGAAAACTAAAATAAAATAAAATGAAAACTAAATCTAAAAAAATCTAAAATAAAGGAAACGCAACTAAAATAACGAAAATAGAACGAATAAAAGAGAAAAGACTAAAAAAAACCATCAAAATGCACAAAAGCCATAAAACAATAGAGGAAATATAAAATAGAGAGAAAAATCATAAAACTAAACATTTATTGAGAAAGAAAACTATGAAAAGAAGGTAAAAACAACTTAAATGCTCATCAAATGGGTGCTATTTATGACACCCATCAAATACCCCCAAGCTTACCTTTTGCTCGTCCTCGAGCAAAACAAAACCAAGGGAGAAATGATGAGCTTATTCAAACAAACAAAAAGAAGAGAAGAGACAAGAATATGCTCACTTTCGTAGGAATCACGGTCAATTTTAGCAAATAAAGACAAGCCATTTAAACCCCTAGATCGCCCTAGAGGACGAGTGATGCTCTCGTAAAGGTTTCCTAAGAGATTAACCTATAACTCTCATAATCATACAAACAAGGCAAAGCATGAAAAAGAAACCAAAATACAAGAAAAGCAAACAAATGTTCATGAAAGGACTTTTCCAAATGAATGCAAATCTTTCTAAACAAGTAAGGGAGTGCACGA